CGACAGCTGCAACCAAAAAATAGTCGGGGCGTTGTGGCGGGTGCCTGTGGTCCCAGCTACTTGGGAGGCTAAGGCAAGAGACTCACTTAAGCCCAGGAGTTGGAGGTTGCTGTGAGTCGTGATGTCACGGCACTCTACCCAGGGGGACAGCTTGGGGCTCTGTCAAAAAAAAAAAAAAAAAAAAACTAGCCCTGGGCGGCGCCTGTGGTTCAGTGAGTAGGGCGCCGGCCCCAAATACCAAGCATGGTGGGTTCAAATCCGACCCCAGCCAAACCACAAAAAAAAAATAGTTGGGCGTTGTGGCGGGAGCCTGTAGTCTCAGCTACTCCGGAGCCTGCTGGAGGTTACTGTGAACCGTGTAATGCTGTCACGGTATTCTACCAAGGGCGAGAAGGTGAGACTCTGTCTCAAAAAAAGAAAGAAAGAAAGAAAGAAAATCCAGCCCTGGGCGGCGCCTATGGCTCAAAGGAGTAGGGTGCCGACCGCATATCCGGAGGGTGGCGGGTTCAAACCTGGCCCCGGCCAAAAACTGCAAAATAAATAAATAAATAAATAAAAATAAAATAAAAATAAAAATAAGTGGCACCTGTGGCTCAAGGAGTGGCGCGCCGGCCCCATATACCGGGGGTAGCAGGTTCAAGCCCGGCCCCCGCTAAAACTGCAAAAAAAAAAAAAAAAAAAATCATCAAAAAATAAAAATAAAAATTCAGCCCTTGGGCGGCACCTGTGGCTACGTGAGTAGGGCGCCGGCCGGACCCATATACTGAGGTTGCGGGTTCAAACCCGACCCGGCCAAACTGGAACAACAAAAAATAGCCTGGCGTTTTCAGGGGCGACAGCTACTCCGGAGGCTGAGGCAAGAGAACGGCGCAAGCCCAAGAGCTGAAATTTGCTGTGAGCTGCGACGCCACGGCACCTTACCGAGGGTGACAAAGTGAGACTCTATCTCTTAAAAAAAAAAAAAATCCAGCCCTGCACTCTCAACTAATTTGACACTCGCCTGCCGCAATAACCCTAAAAGATTCACTACCATACTCCAAGGCCTCCTCCCTTCGAAGCACCGCAGAGCCCCGCCCTTCCATAG